AGGAACTGCGTAAATATTGAAGCTATAAACTTCGTGGGTACTAATTCCTTCTTTTTTTGTGGTGGCAAGGATATCTAATTTTATTTTTGATCAATTCATGAAACTTATGAGTAGATTATTTTTTATTATCTCATAAACATTTTTTTGTAATAATCTTGATTTTTTTTTCATAACCGGTTTCACTTATACCACAGTTTGTCCACCTTTACCAGCTTTACAAGTCACTATATTCGTTTTCTTCTATGTTTTGATTCAGTGTTGGAACAAACTTCTTAAGTAAATTATAGCACTTTAACTTAATAACATTAGTTTTAATTATATCTTTCACTTTATCCTTTCTCAAATAAAAAGGATTTTTACTGTGTAGTTTAATTTTTTTATGACAGAAGAATTGTTATCAGTTTACTGATCTTGGTGGAAAAACAGGAGGATGAGAAAAGACAAGATCAAAAGATAAATTGTGATGTTAGGAAATAAACTCCACAGGGACAGTAATAGTAATACCTTAAATTTGAGTGATACAAAGTCTGACGTAACGGTAGGTTGCTCTTGGAATTACTTGTTTAGAAAACACACATCATGGTAACATAACTTTTAATATCTATATACAGAGTCGACTAGTTACTTGGAACACAGAAATCCTAGCAGTATTAGTTTGATATGTTTTGGATATTCGCACAAAGCTTTACAAGGATTATCTGCATTAGCCGTTCCTAATTTTGAACTGGTAGACTAGAAGAAAGACAGGTAGTCAACAGCAACCTCTGCCAATTCTTGGGCCACTTTAGTCAAATAGTGGGATTTAACCGTCACTTATGACCACAAAGTTCTAATTTTTACTTTTCAGAAAGGGGACGCGAACCGTGTATCCTCGAATACACACTACAGCACACTAATCATTAGGCCTTTTTTAAAGTATTCCCAACAGTTTTGGTGTGAAAAATAAACCTTATAGATATACCTATAAAAATGACAATAACTAAGTGTGCCCTCCAGTGGTATGTCTGCAGACTTATCCTGCTAGAAACCGGGTGGTGGACTTTGCGTAGCTTTGTGCTTAATATCAAACAACAAAAAAACAACAATAACTAAATGTCATTATCGTGCATTAATGATGCTCAGGGAGTTTCGGGATATTTGAGCGGCAAAAAGAATATGAGGGTTATGTGTACTGAAAAAACATCCTTCTTTGATGCATGTACATTAAAATAGTACATGCATCATAGAATGATGTTTTTTCAGTACACACTGTTACTGTTTTATGCAACAATGTGTTTGTAATATTCATGCATCATAGAATGATGTTTTTTCAGTACACATTGTCACTGTTTTATGCAACAATGTATTCTTAATATACATGCATCATAGAATGATGTTTTTTTCAGTACACATTGTCACTGTTTTATGCAACAATGTATTCTTAATATAAATGCATCATAGAATGATGTTTTTTCAGTACAATTGTCACTGTTTTATGCAACAACGTATTCTTAATATACATGCATCATAGAATGATGTTTTTTTCGGTACACATTGTCACTGTTTTATGCAACAATGTATTCTTAATATAAATGCATCATAGAATGATGTTTTTTCAGTACAATTTTCACTGTTTTATGCAACAACGTATTCTTAATATACATGTATCATAGAATGATGTTTTTTTTCAGTACACATTGTCACTGTTTTATGTAACAATGTGTTTAATATACATGCATCATAGAATGATGTTTTTCAGTACACATTGTCACTGTTTTATGCAACAATGTATTCATAGAATGATGTTTTTCAGTACACACTGTTACTGTTTTATGCAACAATGTATTCTTAATATACATGCATCATAGAATGATGTTTTTTCAGTACACACTGTTACTGTTTTATGCAACAATGTATTCTTGATGCATGAACATTACGAATACATTGTTGCATAAAACAGTGACATTGCAACGAGGCACGCTTGATTTATTTATTTATTTATTTAATAACATAATATTAGGTCTTAAATCTTTGGGCGGGGTTTATATGACACGAGCAATTTCATTTCGTTAATAACTAATTTTCGTATCTTGTAATAATATTTACACTTTTTTGTGTTCTCAATCATGGCAAAACCTTTCAAAACAATAATATCGGCTTTTCATAAACAAACCACAGTTTTTTTTATACGGAAATACTTTGGCGGTTCTGTGTGATCCTCGTAAAAATCATCCTGACAGACAAGGGTTCATAACATAAAAACACGATAAACGAAATGAAACTAATTTTAAAATTAAGATGTTACTATGCAGGATTCGTAAAAGTCAATTACAATACACTTACCAATCCCGTCTTCTTCATTTTGGCTTCTTTTACATTGTAAATTGATGTAAGCAGTGTAATAGTTCTTGAACAAAATCTCTCCAATCTTCAAATAGAAATAAATGAATATATTATTACCGATAATAACACAGTAAGACATTGTAACATGTACAGTTTATGATGCTATTCTCAGTTTCACAGTATTTTATCTTTATACAATAATTATTAAGTAATAATATATATATATTGTATTTTTAGACTGGGAACAGCATAATTTTAAAAGTTATTGTGCATCATTAAACGGGTTTTTTTCCTTCTTTAAACATCTGTCATTGTTATTCATTATTATAAAAAAAATATGCTTTAAAACAGTTGGAGAATGTTGATAATTATCACCTGTCTTATAAACAACGCTTATGACCAGCTATGAAAGAGTAGCAATAGATAGATAGACTTACCGTTACAGGTTCGGAAAATGTAATGTCTATGACACTACATCCCGACCGATGGTCAGTTCGTTCTTCCTCTAGTAAGATTGGAACAGGTCCTTTTACATTAAATTCCAAAGGTTCTCTAGAGTCCTGTTCCATTTATGAGATTTTTTTTACCACGAACTACAAATATTGATATACGTATAGATTAGCAATGGATTCATGATGGAGAAACCGAAGTTTAATAATGAAGACTGATGATAAAACATAAAACATTTTATTTACAAGGTTCGAACGTTTCGAAATAACTTATTCCATCTTCAACGAAATCTGAAAATCGTATTACAAAGATGATTGTTACTAAAATTACAATATAATAACATAATCACTAGTTTACTTAGTTATGAAGACAAACAGTAAATGGACGGATAAAACAACGATTATATATGTTACATATCAGCTGAGTTAAGTGTGAAAATTTAGAACAATCTTAGATCTAAAGAGCTTTGTGAGTCTTTAAGAGTCGGGCGGTCTTTAGCTATGAGTAGACTTTCTTTAATGTAGAGTTCCAGGTCTGAAGATCCTGTGGTAATGATAGAGATATCGTTAAATGAAATATTCGTTCACATTCTGAAAACCACAGGTCACAATATTTCATTTAACGCTGAAGATGGAATAAGTTATTCTGAAACGTTCGAACCTCGTAAATAATTTTTTCTATGTTTTATCAACCGTCTTCATCTTCATTCTTAAACAACGTATACATTATATAGAATTCTTATAGCTTATGCTGCCATCTGGTTGTGAAACATGGGACTAAATATAACATTTTAAATGTTATATCTAAATCATGCCTAGTCAAAAAATTAATGACGTGTTGTTTCTTTTATTTCACAAGTAATAAAATATATAGCTTAAATGTTTATTATAAAATGTTTTGATGGTCAACAATTAAATAGTTCCATGTATAAAAAAGTCTTTCTTCACTATATCTGACATAATTTGGACCATGTCAGAAAGGTACCAATAAGTGAGGTAAAGAGAATACAACGAAACTTATAAACACAAACCTTCAACTTAGAAGCCTTAACTAACTTCACAACTTCTTTTAGATAATGGATGCCCAGAAGTAAGCGTCGACATCTTTATAAACTGCATGTAAACAATACAAGCAAATATTTAATTCAACATTGAAAACAAGACTGGTAACTACTTTGACTATTCCATTTGTCAGTATAGCAGTCAGAGTAGTTAAAAAGTGTAATCTATTAATCAATATAACACGCATGCGTGGTAGAGTACTCAAATAGCTTTTAGTTCACACATCTTTCACATCAACACTAAGTGGCAAAAACGCTTACTATGCAGGAATTGATGACGCAAGTTACGGTTTAAAAACCGAAAGATGGCAAAGCATTAGAAACCAATAAGCCTTAAAATATGTGATAAAATAAAGTTAACTCCAGGTGTTTTTTGTTTATTTTTTACATTCCTCTTAATTCAATATCAGGGTGGGTGGGGTAAAAATAGCACTTCAGATCTATTACACATCACTGTCCCAGAAAATATTCGTTCAATACCAGACAAACTCAGTAGTCTAGATAATCTTTTTTTCAAATAAACAATTGACTTTTATGTAAATCACTTAAATTCTTGGGGTAGAAGAAAAGGTCCACATTTTTTAAAAGAAAAACTCCCCATTTCCGTCTGTCTCGTTCTGGTTGCGCCCCATTAGGCCTATTGGGAATTAAAGATGAAAGTCTGAGATCCAATTAAAAGAATTAAGAAATTTCTTTCTTTAAAACATTTAAGACAGTCAATGTTAACTTTTGGGAGTCAGTTTTTGCTGTTGTTGTTGTTGATGTTAATGTCCCATTGGGTACTTCAATTTTGTTCTAGCTTGTATGATGCTGTCTCATTGGGTACTTTAATTTTGTTCTAACTTGTATAATGCTGTCTCGTTGGGTACTTTAATTTTGTTCAACTTGTATAATGCTGTCTCATTGGGTACTTTAATTTTGTTCTAACTTGTATAATGCTGTCCCATTGGGTACTTTAATTTTTTTCTAGCTTGTATAATGCTCTGATATGTTGTGAGATTCGAGTAATTAAAAGTACTTCTATTTACCCTATGTACACATTTCAAGAAATATTGCATTTAAGTTGGTAAACTAAAACAAACATAAAGGGTGATACCATTAATTATCAAGAGTTCGCAATTATATTTTGGAAGGTATTGTATACTATATTTTCACCTAAAGCAAACGATATCTGTTTGTTCTTGGCCTTGAAATAAAATGTGGAAAGTGTAATTTATAATAACCCTAAAAAATTAGACTTAGTTACTGTTTTTTGTTTTTTTTATCTCTGTTCTGATCGCCTTTCACCAGTTCCTTCACAAGTATTATTTATCGTTTCCTTTTCAGAACTCAAAATACTTTACACAATAATAAATTATATTTTCAGGGACTAATGCAAAATTCACTATGTCACCAAGAATTCTTTCTTTTCTTCACTGAAAGTACACATTTTAGTGAGAAAAAGAAAAAATCACAATTCATAAACTATTTCTATGTGCGTGTGTGTTCGCTTATAACTAGAAAACTGTTGGACTGAAATACGCGATAATCAGGCTTCACCAGCAAAAGACACTCACAACATAAAAATTGTTATACAATAATGTATTATTTGTATAAATTGTTTGATTTCATCTCTACACACAGACGTGACGCGCAAAAAAATTTTAATTTTGAAACCATATTTTAAAATTATAACTTTTGTTGTCTTTTGTAAAAGATGTATAACAAAAACTTTGAGACAATTAAAAATGTTTTATTCTTTTATGGGCTTATTAAAAAGTTTCCGAACTCCAGTCGATAAAGTGGTTTAATAAAAGCATTTCAACCACACTGATTCACGTTGCTTCAATCATCACCTTTTGTTCAATACTGCTACCACCCAGGTACAAACTCTAAGCCTCACTGAATAGGATATTCTTATTAGTTAGTCTCGTAATAAATCTGAAAAACAATACTAATTAATTTATTTACAATTTAATTTTATGTAATGATCCACTGATTTATGTCAGATTTTATTTTTACAGAATTAATTTGAGCACATAATCAATTGAAAGCCTACCTCAATTTTTTCTGTGCAGTCCTTTGGTAACTATAGTAACTAAAAGTACAACATTATTCACCTCGCCATCTCGTGTTTGATAGTCAAACTACGACTTTTTGTTTTATATAAATAACATTTTTTTGCACACAACTTCTTAATAATCTGTTATACTTAAAGGCATATTAAAGTTTAAAACACTGCTTGACTTCTTTGGTTATATATATACAATAAATAAAAATATATTGAATAACTAAAACAATGTGCAAGAATGTGTACAAAAATTAAAAATTCAATAGTGGTTGGTTATAATGAAATGTAGAAAATGCTAATTCAAACATATTAATCATAATTAAACCATCCTAGCATCAAAAGAACGTTTCGCCTAACTTTTTTTTATAAACTACAGTGTTTCATACGAAACAGGTACAGTTTCGATTGTCCTTGCCCTCCACCTTCAGTGGCGTGGCATTAAGTCTTAACGTTTTAATCAGGTTTAGATTACCGTAGTGGGCACAACCTAAATAGCTCGTACAACTTTGTGCTTAGCAACAAAAAAACAAACGAATTCTCATTTGGCGTCCAGCAGTAATTTTACAGACTTACAAGGCTAAAATCCAGTTTTCGAGACATCAGGGTGGACAGAGCGCAGATAAGCCATTGTGTAACTTTGCACTAAAACAATGACAATAGCAAAATCCAATCAATGACTGATTTTTTTTCTTAGCTTAAAAAGGTAAAAACTATTGTAATAATAAATATTCAAGTGAGATAGATTTGACCATACAAAATAATATATCTAATTATTTCTTTTCTAATTTCTTTACACACATTTTAGAATAAAAACTTTTGTGTCATGGTATGTTCATCAGTTGTATCAAGTTTCCGTGTTTGATTTTGCAAAGATTTTTCAATTTTGAATGTATGTATAGAAAGACGAATAACTTAATAAAAAAGACAGATAGAAACGTGAAACACATATATGACAGATTAATTGATTTTCTTTATGTTCTTTGAGAACATTTTTATACGAATCGCTTTTACAGGATGAAATATTCCCCAGCTTTATTTTCACACACTGCTCACTCACGAGTATAAAATGTTTAATGTTTTGTTAGATATTAAAGAAAGTAAGTAAAACAGTTTTAGTATGCTAATTTTCTTCTATTTCCTTATGAATAGGCGAAAACTCACACCACTTATACACACACACATATAATCTCCCAAATCAACCTGAATGTGCAAGCTAAAAGTTAAATAATACAGAACGTTTCACTTGTATATTTTTTTTACGAAAACAAATACATTATATTTAAGGGTAAATTATTCAAGGCTAATTAAGTTTCGTTCCATTTTTTGAAAAACATATTAAAATTGACAGTTATTGGAACTAAGAATGCCTGATATTCATGAAATTTTGTATCAATATGAATAGATACAACCTCGAACAACTCATAAATGTATATATCTAACTTGTATATATATATATATACACACAATAACATACAAGTTTACAAACGCAGCTATTGCTATGGGGCGTTAATTTGTTCAGCTATATTTCCGGTCCGCTACCTCCTCACATCTACTTCTACGGGAACTGTTTGTTTTCAACTAGACGTTCGAGGAACCTAAAGGCTCTTTATGTTAGAAAAACAAGTGAAACAGAATTAGAAGATTCTTTAGCCAATGAAGCGCCCTCTGTATTAGGAGAAAAACTATTTCAATAGTCTTTTATTTTCCAAGTACCACAGCATAGTCGTGAGAGCTATCAAGTATACAACTCTACATTTGAGAACGAAAAAGGTTTTTATCAAATAAAATGGGCGAAGAAGAATCTACGGTTGAAACATCTGCGACACGTAATGAAAAAGAAGGAGAAAAGCCATTAGGAGAGTTTCTGGAAATATCCGAGAATCCCCATTCCATAACATACCAGGTATACGTTAATATTTATCGGTTAGATATTCGAAACTACGCTGTCACATATGGCTAGTGCTTTAATGTGTACACTAAATGTTAATAACAGAGACTAATAATGGAAATTTATCATTCGTGGTTGCTGTAATACAGAATATTGAAATGAGATTTTATCGTATTTAGTTAAATTATAATGCAACTTAACTTATTTTACTGGTTATATTTTTCAGCTAGTATATTTCGTTATAAATCTCACTCGTAAATTTATCGATGTTCCTGTTCTTCAAGTAGGTACCATTTTTTGTTAGAGATCCTCACATATTTAATCGTTCGACAAAGTTTAGTTAAATTCCACAGATATCAGTTACTTTTTTGAAACCTTTAGGACTGAATATTGTTGATAAAGACGTCATATTTTAATTTATTGCGTATTGTTGTTTTCTTTAGCGGAAGGCTACTGCGATCTATCCTCCGCCGGGAATCGAACCCCGGGTTTTAACATTATGAGTTCGGAAATTTACCGTCGACCCACAGAGGACTAATCTATTTCGTGTACTCAATGTATTTTTTTTAACTATGTGTGACAAACGTGACATTGAATGACTGACCTAAACAACAAGAGTTTAGGATTACACTGGAGTTCTGCTTTACTTAATGTCAGAAAGAGCTGCTAAAGGTAAAATG